AGTTAGGTAAATACCTTTTTAGTTGGTTCTTCTGGAAAGCCTCTCCCTCATAGCTCATCCCCAGAACTGGGATGCCATCAAGAAAACTTTACCTTATCCATTGTGGTGTGGATATGGCAGATGGCATCACCAGGTGCCCAGCAGTGGGGGCTCAAAAGTCAGGTGTAAGAGAATCTTCAGCATCAGGTAGGCTTTCCTGGGAGGGGATACAACGAGGGTGCAAGGAGCCTGTCAAGTGACTAAGTCTTAAACGCCATATGATATACTCACTCCACTGCCTGTTATAATTTTTACAAATTGTGCAAGTTTTCATGTTAGTAAATTGAATGTTTCCTTAAGATTTTACTCACTTCTTTTGAGAAATTAATGTTTGGTTATAGAGAGGTTATGAAAAGGGAAATATTTAGTAGCAGAAACTATAAAAAATTTTCTAATTTATTATTGTTCTCAAAGTTTTTCTAATACTTGGAGTATATTTCCAATAGGAACATGTTGTAATATAAAAAACCCTATAATTCTATATGTTATTATACTCCATAATATATGTTAAACATATCAGTTAAAACATTAATGCAACCATATCTAGCCACCGTATGTCAAGTATGAGTAGGTGCACTTAGACTTTCCGAGTTGGGAATGTTTTGTCCTGACAGGAATTGGAAATAGCTTTGAATTTCTCCATGCTGGGATTTGGATTGGAGGAGACGCAGGCACATAGCCCACAGCTGTCCAGTGCTGCGCACTGGGAAGGACATTGGTTGGGGAGCACCTGTGCTGTGGTGAGGAGCTGGCGTATTTTCCATGCTTCTTTTAGCTTTATTTATTGTTTCGTGGTGCTCAGAGTTGAACACAGGGACTTGAATGTGCTCGACGAGCACTCTGCCACTGAGCTACATCCCCAGTCCTGGTTTTTTTGTTTTTGTTTTTTTTGGTTATGACTTTATAAAATATTTTTTACTAGTGCTTACTAATTTCACAAAATGTTAGGTTTCAATGTAGAGTCTTCATTTATGTATATATATAATATATTTTGATCATATCCATCCCCATTACCCTTTTTTTCATACCTTCCTCCCCCTTATTCCCTTCTTTTGCCTACTAATAGTCTCCCTTCTGCTGTTTTGTTTTGTTTTCTATTGCTTTGCTTTGCTTTGTTTTGTTTTTTGAGACAGGGTCTCACTGTGTAGTTCAGGCTAGCCTTGAACTTACTATGTGGCCCAGGCTGGCCTTGAAGTTGCTGCAATCCTCTTTCCTCTGCCTCCCGAGTGCTGGGATTATAGCCAAGTGCCACCACACCCAGCTTCTATTTATTTTATTAATTTTTATTTTTTATTAGTACATGCTTGCTGTACATGATTACGTTCCTTGTGAGGAGTTGGTAGATGTGGAAAACATCTTAATTCTTTTTACATCCCCTTTCTCTTCCCTCCTTTCTCCCCTCTCCCTCCATCTCTTTGTCCCTTTCCCCTTTGCAAAAGATCTATCACCCTATTTCTTATTGTCTGACTTTTATTTTGCTATTTATTATTATTTGGATTTCTCATATAAGAGAAACCATGCAATATTTAAGCTTATGTGTCTGATTTTTTTTTTCCGGTACCAGGAATCAAACTCATGACCTCATGCTTGCCAGTTAGGTGCTGTGCCACTGAGCTAAATCCCCAACCTGTGTGTCTGATTTATTTCATTTAACATTATGGTCTTAGATGCATCTTTTTTCTACAAGTGACTCAAGTTTAACCTTCTTTATAGCACAGTAATACTTCATTGTGTGTAAGTACCACATTTTGCTTATCCATTCATTTGTTGATGGACATACAGGCTGCTTCCAAGATTTAGTTATTGTGAATTATGCAGCTACAAATATGGGCATGCATGTGTCACTATAAATTGAGGTCTTTTACTCTGGGAAGATACCTAAAAGATGAATAGCTGGATTGGATGGAATTTCTATTTTTAGTTTTTTGAGAAATCTCCATATTGATTTCCATAGGTTGTACTGGTTTACATTCCCACCAACAATGTAGAAAGGTTCCCTTTTCCCTGCATCCTCTCCATTTGTTATTATTTGATTTCTTGATTGTAGCCATTCTCTCTGGAGTATTATAAAATCTCAATGTTGTTTTGTTTTTCTCTAATGGCCAGAGATACTGAACATTTTTCATGTATTTACTATACATTTGTACTTCTGAGAAGTATCTGTTCATTTCAGTTGCCCATTCTTTGATTGGGTGCTTTATTTTGGAGGGCCTAATTTTCTTGAGTACTTACATATTCTAGATGTTAGTACCTAGTCCAAAGAATAGCTGGCTAAACCGTTTTTCCCATTCTATAGTGTTATGGTTTGTGTCTGGATGAACCCCTAAAGCCTCACACAGTCATGGTGAGGCCAACTGATTATGGACTGAAACCTCCACAAACTATGTAATAGCTTTGAATAAACCTTTCCTTCCTTAATTTTGGGCATTGGATATTTTGTCTCACCAACGAGAGAAAAGTAACTAACACATATAGGTAGCTCTTCACTCTGTTGTTTCCTTTACTCTGCAGAAACTTTAAAATTTGATATCCTGTTTGTTGATTCCTGGTGTTATTTCTTCTGTAATTGGGATTCTTTCCTTGTCTAGAAGGGAAAAGAAAAAAATGAGAAAAGAAGGAATAAATGAAAACAAAACTTTTGTAAATAAGGAGAGAAAGAGGAGTTAAAGGGAGGGTAGGGGAGTAGGAAAAAAAAAGATTCAAGGGATATGAGGTACAGATACAAATTCGCTGTGATGAATGTGATCATTATGTATGCCTAAAATGTACTGGGCCATATGGTAGTTCTATGTTCATTTTTTTTTTAGTATTTCTATCCTGATTTCCATAGTGGCTATTTTAATTTACATTCCTGCCAGCAGTGTAGAAGAGTTCCTTTCTTCTCCCTGCATCCTGGCCAGCATTTATGGTTTTTGTGTTCTCGATGACAGCCATTCTGACTGGCATGAAATGCAGTTGCAATGTAGCTTTGATTTGCATTTCCCTGATGGCTAAAGATGTTGAATATTTTGCCATATAACTATTTGCTACTTTTTCCTTTTCTTTTGAGAAGTATCTTTTCAGTTCATTTGCCCTTTCCTTGCTTAGGCTATTCGATTTTTTTGGTGCTAAGTTTTTAAAGTTCTGTATATTCTATATATCAATACTCTGTTGTAAGGGTAGCTAAAAAGATTTTTTTTCTGTTCTGTAAGCTATCTCTTCACTCTGTTGGTTGTTTTTCTGCTGTGCAGAAACTTTTTAATGTAGTGTCACTTATTGATTACTGCTGTTATTTCCTGTGCTGTTGGAGTCTATTTAGGAAGTCTTTGCCTGTGGCTATGTGCAGGTGTTTCCCCTAACTTTTCTTATAGAAGTTTCAAAGTTTCAGGTTGTCTTCAATTTTTTTTTTACAAGGTGAGGAATGGGGATCTGGCTTTCATTTTCCACATATGAATACTCAGTTTTGCCTGTATCATTTGTTAGGAATGCTGTCTTTTCTCCATTAATTTTGGATTTTTTTTTGTCAAGAATCAGATGGCTGTAATTGCATGGGTTTGTTTCTGTATCTTCTATTCTGGTGTGTTGATCTATGGGTGTATTTTTGTGCCATGCTGTTTTTGTTACAGTGGCTCTGTGCTATAATTTGAAATTGGACATTTGATGCCTCTAGCCTTGTTCTTATTGCTTCGGATTACTTTGGGTATTCTGTTCCTTTCTTGTTTCCATATGAATTTTAGAATTGTGTTTTCTAGTTCTGTGAAGAATGTCTTTGGAATTTTGATAAGAATGGCATTGAGGGCTGGGGATTTAGCTCAGCGGCAAAAGCGCCTGCCTGGCAAGCGCAAGGTCGTGAGTTCGGTTCCTGGTACCGGAGAAAAAAAAAAAAAAAGACAAACCTGTGAGTGCCCTGGTCTCAGACTTTGCAGCCTCCAGGATTTTGAGAAAGAACTTTCTGTAGTGTATGGACCGCGAGGGTTCAGTACTTAG